CCCACACACCCCTCCCCTGCCGCCCAGGGCAGAAAAGCCACCTCCATGTTGCACCACTTGCACCCCTTCCTGGAATCCTTTCCCCTCCCTACTCAAATATGCACTACTAGACACCCCCCCCCACTAGTGTCGAAGTACAAAGGCCACTTTCTGCATGCAATTATTTCATTGTTCTCTGTTTTCTGGTCCAATAATGTCTCCACACTAGAGCTGTAAATGGAGCCCCAAAGGCTCCGCTCCACGGGGCAGCCTATCACCTCGCCTGAGTTGGGGGGAGCTGCTGGGCTGAAAGGGCCCGAGCAGCGTTGGGCCCAGATCTTTCTGGGTTTGCTTCCCAGGAGCAAGCAAAGCAGCGTTTCCCTGGGGTCCCAATCCCACCCTACTCTCTGTTCTCCTCACTTGAGGAAAGGTGAGAAGGCCCAAGGGATCGCTGGGATGGGAGACTCAGTAGGTTCCCTGAATCAGTGAGGACTAGTGTCTTAAGAGGCACCCTTGCTGAGTGTATGAGTGATTGCTTTCAAATCTTGGTTTCTTGACCCACAGGCTAGAATCTGATCCCCTTTGCCCGGGGGAGCCTCGCAGGAAACCCGGCTGCCAGCGAGAGACACAACTGGACTTGTGCTTGTTTAAAACATGCCCAGTTTGCCCTAAAAAGGCAGGATATAAATCTGCACACGTATCAAAATAAAATATTGGCTTTGGCACATCCTAGGATTTCCCCAAAAAAGTATCTATATGTGACATTTAAAATTTGAAAAGTATTCTTCAGCAATTATGAGAAATGAACTTTGGAACGAAGATCTGACTTAGAATTTCGTCAGGTGTGGGTTTTTAAAACAAAAACGAAAAATCTCTTTTCTATCCAAGGAAGAGCTCGGGGCCAGCCCATCCTCAAAGCTATTCCTAAGGGTCACCCTCTGGCCTCCGTCTCCGCTCATCATCGGGCCCGGGGAATAAATCCATTTCCACAAAGCTCCTGATGAGAAATTATTCCAAGAAAGGAATGAAGGAGCGACTTGCTTTTCAAACATTCTTTCCTGCAGTTCTCTGTTTTAAAGCGTTTTAACACTTTCAAGGCATCCCAGAGACCAAAATATTTTTCGCTGGTCGCAAGGCTGATTCCGTCCTAGCTACCTCAGGTCTTTGGGAACCAAACAGGAGACGCAGGAGGGATTTGTGGTCCATCAAGGGAGCGCGAGTGGGGCTTTCCTGTCCCTCTCCGGACCGGATCCTCATCCTTCTCCTGGACCCCCCCGGCCTCCCCCGGCCCAGCTGTTGTGGGACTCACCCGAGCGTCTTGCCTGCTGGCTGCGCTGCAGCTGCCCGACCGCTTCGCCCTGGAAGAGCGCGGCTCCTCTGGCTGACCGGCCCCTTTGCCCGGAGCAGCGGTTCCTTACCTCCCGGGAATACTGGCACCCTCCCCACTTGATCTGGGCCGTGTGAGAA